GTGAAGGGAGGGCAGGGACAAGGGGAAAAATGAGAATCAAGACCTATTATGTAAAGGTACAGAATCCCAATGATGATTGTAACTGTATTTGTATACCTAGATTGTACCAATAACCTCAATAAAAAAGAAAAAAAAATGCAAAAAAAAAAAAGTAAATAAGGAAATCATTAAGTACCTTTTCACACTTCACACTTTCTGCAGCAGCTATTGTAATTCTTAATATTTTTCTTCTGGGTTTTGCTTTTCCTCCCTAGATTTCTAGAGTTTGTACTTTTTGTATTTGGGTTGCTATATTTGTGTGGCAAGAAAATTATCTTTTCACTCTTACTATATGCCAATGGGGTAAACTTATGGGATCCATGCTGCAGCAGGCTATTTGTTATCTTTGAAAACTCTAAAATGTTCGACACCATTGCTGTATGCTATACCTTGACTGTGGTATTTTACGTACTTCCTCCTTTAATCCTCTCTATATTCTATGTTTTTAGAAATGTAGAAACTGAGTCTCAAAAAAGGATAATTTACATAAGATCCATTAGCCAGGAGAAGTGTTAGAATTTAAATGCAGATAATCTAATTGTTATTCCTGTCATTGCTTGTAAAAGCTAATGTTTTTATGTTATAAACTGATTATACTTAAAGCATCTTTTTAAAGCTTTTATATTAATTACCTAATATAATATATACTGTACTTTGAAACCATGTGGTACATGATCTATTTTATTTAACACAAAGCCTTTTCCCCTTACAACTAATATTGATTTTTCTATCTAGGGTGACTATTTTGATATTCAGGCATCATGCAGTTTCTGAGACTTAAAGAGTAGCTGCAAACTAAATTCTTATGTGTGGTAGATCCATGAGTCATGGAAGCTGACATTTCAATAATTTTATTAGGAGTCTTGCCTGTGGCTTGATAGTATTCATCATTGCAGTGACCTCTTAGAATAGAACTCTAGAAGGAAAGAGGGTATTTGTTATGCAGTTCCTATAACCTAATTTAAATCCTTTTTCTGGTTGAATTTAGAATTTAAATTCATGTATCTGTGTAAAGAATGTAAAGAATTAGCCAAAATGAAATCCTGAGTTAGATAGGTTCTTATTTCAGGCTGAAAATCAAAACTATTTAAACAAGTCTTGAGATTAAGCATCATATGCTGAAATGTTTATTTATCTGAGCTCCTCATCTAACCAGCTCCCTTATCTTACCTGGGATGATTCTGATATGGTAATATGGTTTTGGTTATTTCCTAATCTTTTCAGGCAAGTAGGGCTAATTGGGTCAGCTTTAAAGGAATGTGTTTGAAGGTAAAGACCTGAATTATAGGTTTAATTCTTTTTTTAGACAAATAACTTTTCCTAGTTTCAAAACCACAGATATCACTAGCAGTCTCACCAAATGAGACCATGAGTTACCAGTGAAAATTGATTTGATGTTTAACTTATGTATGAGGCCCTTGATGAAGAAAGTTGGTTTAATCATGGCAAGAGACCACTAATACCAGAAGAAATATAACTCATGCTCTGAAAATTGATAGTGAATCTATAATAGTGTTATTGTATAAAGCACAGAATTATTTAAGAAAACAGTTGAGGGAATTCTAGCAATGGAATTTGGCCTTATAATGACTAAAAACCAATAGTGAAAGATACTAATAGTGAAATATTAGTGTCTTCTGCATTACAACCAAGGATAATTTTAGGATTGAAGTAATTTTCTATGTCAGACTGCTGGTAATAATAAAGTTTTAGGACTGCAGCTGATCTAATAAGCAAATACGAAGGAAAATTTAAGATATTTATTCAAGGCCACCCAGCAGATAGTGATGGAGTGAGGCAGATAGTGATGGAGTGATAGATGGAGTGAGGCTTTGAATTCAGATTCATGATTCTAGTCCACATTATTTTGTGTGTGTGTGTATTAGCATGCAGTGTGTTAACTTTTTGAAAATGCAAAGATGAAAAAGACTTTTTTGCCGCATCAGAACTTAAACTAATTCATTAGCAAACAGAGGAGCTCCATAAACTATAAATAAGAAATTTTTATGTAGGTTATTAGGATTATAATTATTAAACCTTTTTTTCTACTCATATATTTATTTAATAAAAGCTTGCCAATTGTCTATAATTTGCTAGGTTCTGGGTTTACAGGATTCAGTATTGAGCAAAACGGACAAAATTCTCACTCCAGTAAGGCTAACATTTGAATGGGGAAAGATGAAAAAATGAATATGTGGTATGTTGCATGATTACTGTAATGAAAAGTAAAGTAGGGCCAGGAATTTGGCTCAGCCGCACCACACTTGCTTCACAAGTGCAAGGTCATGAGTTTGACCCCCACCACTAAAAACAAAACAAACAAACAAAAAATAAAATAGGGTAGGAAGGATGGAGAATTACAGAATGAATGATAGGGGCTATTTTGTGGGAATGTCATGAAAGTCTTCTGGTGAAGTATTCAGGCAGAGTTCTAAAGGATGTTTTCTAAGCAGGTAAGAGCCAGGTATACAGTTTTCGTGACTGTTGGGCAAATGCATTGGTTGGGTTGGAAGTGTTGTGGGTAGGGAGAAAGATGAGCGGTTGTGTTTACACTTCCTCAGTTGGGAATTTGGGGTGCGGGGTCAGGGTTGCTAGGAAAACTTGGAGCTCTGCAGGTCTCATTTACAGTCCTGTCAGTGCATAGAAGGATGCAGTAACAACACAGATGGAATGTGAAGTTTTTATGCCTGGAGTGGGAGGTCAGGAAAACCTTCCAAAAGGATGTGATGCTTTATCTGACATGAGAAGAATGAGCTTAGGAGGAGGATAATTGAAATAACCTTGAGAAACTGTTGCTCAGAGATTATAAAGTAGGAGGCCAATTTAGGAAATGAATGGTGAGTTGAGTACTTTAAAAAATGAAGTCAGTGGAGTCATCTGGGAAAGTCATGCTGAAGAGCAACAAAAGAGATTGTAGGATACTACCTTGGGGAATAACTGTCTTAAGGGGGCACAAGGTGAAGGGAACCAAGCAGAGAGAGGGCTGGGAAGGAGAAAAAATAGCTTTGAAACAAAGGAAGGGCATAATTTTGAGAAGAGGACTGGTCACTAGTGGCTGAGAATGATCAGTTAGGTTGGTCTGGGGAAAGGTGAGGTTGTGCTAGACCTGAGTTGTATAGGTAGGCTTGCTGCTTTTCACATGAGACTAAGCTAAATCAAATTAAAATTTTAATTTCTTAGCCTCAGTAGCCACATTTTAAGAGTTTAGCACTTTTACTATCTAGTTAGTACCTACATGACTAATAATTATATCTGAACATTGAATATATAGAATATTCTCATAATTGCAGACCATTCCATTTGACAGTAATGTACTAGATCATTCTAGTATTGTGTGAAAGTTAAATAACAGCTGAATATTTGTTTATTTTTCTATTCATTTATGATAGCAACATAGAAAATATAAGGTAACTATTTGCTGGTAAAAATTCACTTTGGAAAGTCAGAGGAAAGATAACTTCAGTCAGACTTTGGCAACAGAATTGGCAATTTGAATAGAACTTTTAATGTCAAGCCTTTCAAGCCATTGAGCAGAGAAACAAAAAACAAGTAGGAATAAACCTGCAGATCACTTTCCACAATCAGTTTTACCAGGCAGAATTCAGTTAAGTGGAGTTTTAGTTGAGTTGGAAGACTATATCATAGGAGATCAAGTATTTCTGTGAAATGAAATCCTAATTGTGGATTTTTAAATACCTGGGCTTGGACTTATTTTTTAAAGAACAGCTTTTTGAGTAACAGAGCAACATGACCAATGTGATTATTTAGGAAATTAATTTAGGCTTATAAACTAATCAGTTTCTTCTAGGTTCTTTATCTTTCTCATGCCTATTTTAAAAAACCCACATTGTATACACAAGTGTTATTAACCTTCACAATTCTAGGAAGTTACATGGTTTAGTAATTACTCACAGAGGAGAAAAATAAAAGATAAGTGTTTTGCTGATGACAAGCTAACTTGAAAAGAATAATACTGAATAGACGAAAATAATGTATTTCAGTGTCGAATAAATTACAGAACATACTGTCTTTAATATGTAATGATATTGGCAATACGAACAATATTTTTATCATTTAAAAAATTCCAGTACCTAGCATAGTAAATGAATGAGTGGAGTGGAACTAAATGCAGGGACACCTGCTGAAAGGGATGAAAGTCTGTTCTAGGTTATATCAATGAGCGATGAAAGGAAGAACTGCATATGAGATAAACACTGAAGTAAAAATAATCAGAATTTAATGACCTGATTAGATGGGGCAGGGGGAGAGACTTAGTTGACTCAAGGTTTAGGTCTGAGTAATTGAAAGATGGGCAAATCAGTGTTAGAGCTGGTTTCTGAGACGAGAAAAAGCTGAGTGCTATTTTTTGACATAAAACAAGTGAAAGCCTTTCCTTTGTTAACTGAATTTCAAAACTAGGTTAATTTTGCCATAATGTTTAAATCTTCAATATATTACACATGAAGAAGAAACTTGAAAGTTATCTGAGTAAGGATAATAAATGAGCCTCAGTAGGAATGGCCTCTCCAAGAAAATAGCAGGTAGAGAAAGAACAAGCTGATGCTGAGCACTGGTTGTCTCCATTTACTTATTGAATGAGAGGAGAAAGGAGACAGCAAAATAGCAGAAGGGAAGGCAGAGCAGTGTTGTATCTTAGAAATAAAAGGAGGAAGGGTGTGCATGGTTAAAAGGCTGATATACAGGGAGGATGAAAACCCTCCCAGAACATTCCAAAGAGGACTGTAATTTGGCAGAAGCCTCAGGATTTGTTAAAAAAGTTTTTTTCTGGAATTTAATTTACAGTGTAAAAACACTTTTGCACCCCCTGTTAAATGCTACTTCTTAAGAGATTACTTCATCACTTAATTAATTCATTTGATAAACTGTGGGTGCTCTTTGGATTCAGATTCAGGTACATGAAATTAAGTCACTCCTGAGAAAATTTTGTGTTTTTTTTTTAGATCTCAGCATATTCAGAAGTTGCCGAAGTTCAAGAGACAGTGAGTAACATAAAATGCTATTTAAGATGTTATTTTTTATTTTTCTAAGATTTTAAGTTGGAAATGGGTATTTTTTACTTACTTAATCATAGATTAATTCACACTAAGAAATATCAACTACAGATGGAAAAAATCTGATTAAAATTTTGTTTGCATTTTGCCAAAGTATAAATAGGTTTAATCTTTTTTGACCACATTTAAACGATGCAGTAAAATATAGATAAATAAAATACTACTTCTTGAATGTAAATCACAGTTAATATTTTGGTGGCATCTTTCCTGAGTTTGTACATGACATACATATATTACATGCAAAATTTTATAAAAATAAGTCAGTGAAAAAAACTTCAATGACTAGATATTATTTATATTATTATTTAATACCTGCTTAAAGTAGCTTAGTGTTTAGGTTACTGTGAATAGTGTTGTGATCAGTGATTATGAATATATGTTTTTGAACATTTTGAATGTCCTAGAAGTAGAATTGATCCTTCTAGGATCTGATCCTAGAAGTAGAACTGGATCAAAAGTGTAAATTAAGTTATTTTAAATAACTTCCTGCCAGGCCATATCATATTCTGTATCCTATAGTGATTAAGTTCTAGTTCCCAGAAAAAAAAGTCCTTTAAAATCTCTTCCATAAACTCAAGGCTGAAATGTACACATGAGTACTTTGCAGATGATTTCAAAAATATGAAAATTAAAGCTAAGTATAGAGTGATGACTCCTGTTCTAAGAAAATGCAGCTCTCTGCTGCATTGTATGCCCTGTGCTGAAGTTTCTTGCTCTAAGAACCAAAGTTAACATCCAATAGAGTACCCTTGAGATGTTTTGTATAATCCTTCCAAAGTGTGGAAACCAGCTATGGCAGGACTGCTTCTGTGACATTTTAACAGACTTTAGTAGGCTAGAGGAGGAGGATACCACCAGCTACATCAGTTCTTGACAGATTCCTGCACTTTCCCCTAAGCTCACTGAGTGACTTAAGGCAAACCAATATATGTGTGTTAAGAACGCCATAAGTTAAAGGAAGCAGGATAAAGCTATAAATCTCATGAAATTATTTCTATATTTTATAGGGTGACAATCTGTCTTGGTTTGATTGAGATTGTGGGGTTTCTCAGTGAAGAGAATGACTATGAACTTCTACCTCTATATTTCTTAAATATTGGATGTTTTATTTTAATTATAAATAGCAGATATTTAATGTACTAAAATAAGATCACCTGTTTTTTATAATGCTTCTTTTCTGAAATGATTAGATAATGGCCATAAATATGTCATTCTTTTAATAAATTATATTAGCTAATAATAAGTAAAAGTTCTAGGCATGCTACTATTATTTTACTATTTTCATCCCATACTTTGTGCCAAAATAATTTTATTTATATAACAAAGAAATTGCGATAACTGTGGACATTATAAATTATTCAACTACAGAAATTGTTTTGTTCTATCTTAATGGCTTTTTTCTGAACAAACCAAGGAGAAATTCTTGAATCATTTGAGATGGTAACAGTATTTTGGTACTTTAGCAAAAGTCAAATAGACTTCCTAGCTTTTTATTTTTTAAAATATCTTACAACTCTACTAACAAAAGGAGACTTCCAGACCTGCTTAAGAAAGATGGGTTAGGTGTGTTCGAAGTGAGGGGGATTAGCAGTCCGAATAGCAGTCAGAATAACCCCGTTAAAACAAAATCAGACCTTTCAACCATCCACCATCCAGTGGTTTCCCATCTTATTCAAAATAAACCAAAGTCCTAACGAGGCCCTGTGAAGTTCTACACAGTCCAGATGCATTTATTCTCTAACCTCATCTGCTACTCCTCCTCCTCATTATATTCCAGCCTTATTGGCCTTCTACTCTTCTCTGAAGCCTCCAGACTTGCTCTCTTTCCAGTGGTCTATGGCTTTTCTCTGTTCTCCTCTCTTTCTCTTTCCCCGCTTCCCCTCCTTCTCCCTCTCCTTCTCCTACTTGAAATTTCCCCAATAGATAGTTCAGACGTACCCTGTCAGATAGCTATACTTTTCCTCCTCCCTTCTTTTCCCTCTTCTTCCTCCTCCTTTTACCCCTCCCTCTTCTCACCCTCCTCCCTCTGCCTCCTCCCACCCCCACCCCTCCCTGCTTCTTAGCAAGTTTCTTCATTTTATCCAGTCAACTGTACTAGGCCCAACATTTCGTATGTCCCACTTTCTGCTTATTTTATTCTTCTCAGTTACTATGGTATATAATATTAATTTTTGTTTATTCTTATTTTCCTAACTAAAACATGAATACGACAAGGTCAGGATTTTTGTGTAGTCTGTTTACTGCTATATCCTTTCATGCCTAAAATGATATGTTTCATAGTAGTTACCAGTAAATATTTGTCGGATGGATGTGTGGTTTGTATAATGTTGAGACACGTCTGAAGGTACTGTATAATGTTGAGAGTAACTATAATTGGAGGTTTTAGGAACATATTCAGAAGTTGCTGCATATGCTAGGGATTAATTTCTGAGAGTAAACAGGAAAGGAATATACTAGTACAGAAATTGACTTTTAGTGCTTTTAACCAACAAAATTTGAGAATATAGCAGAACTGCATAATGAAAATGAGCTTAATAATCTTTTATTCCAAGTAGAAAACCAACTCTAGAACCTTCAAATATGACTTACTTTTTGAAATTAAATATATGTTCATATATATGAATTAGATAATTTTATATATATATATATATATTTCATATATATATGAATAATTAGAACCACTGCTTTCTTTTGGAAAGTTACTGTCGAGTCTAGTGAAACCAATAATTACTGATATAGATACAGGGAAATTATTTAAGAATATGTCTATGAAGCATTTGTAAATTACACAGTTGCCTCTGTCAACTTTCTAACTTCTAACTTCTTTTCAACTTCAGTTTTCTAATGTATTATTTACTGATGGATAAAAAGATTCCAAAATTAAGTGGTGCAAAACAGCAAGCAATTATCTCAGATACTGTAGGTCAGGAATTTGAAAGCAGCCTACCTAGATGTCTCTTACTCAAAGTTGGTCAATCAAGATAATGGATTATGGAGATAATCCTGTGGTCTGTACTGAAAGCTTGCTTGTGTGGATGGATGACAGAGGTGGAGATCTTCCAGGTTCACTTAAGGATTGTTGCCACATCTTAGCTCCTGCCTAGCAGCCCTCTCTGCGTTGATGCCTCATGAAGTGGCAGCTGGCTTTCCCCAGAGATTTATCTTTGAGAGAGCAGTCAAGACTGCAAACTTAGAAGTCGCAAAAGAGATGTCCCATCACTTCTGCCATATTTTTGTTTTAAGGGATTTAGTAAGTCCAGCATACATGCAAAGACAAAGGATTATGCCAGGAAATGAGAATCCCAGGGGACATCTTGCCTGCCACAAATACTTTATTCTTTTCCTGAAAGATTATCAGTTAGCTGTAATAGCAAAGCCATCAGTAATAAAAACCTGAGCACAGATTAGTTCATTGTCAGCAAAGCTGTATTATTTCAACTTATATATGAAACTAAAATCAGTTCCTAGAAGAATAAATGTATCCATGCAGCAGAAAAAATAGATTGAATAAATGCATTAAGGCTGTAGAACATATGTAGTATTGTGAAATAATCGTCTCTGGGTAAGTAGCAGGTCCAAAGAGATGATAAAGGCCCACAGCAAACAACTGCTCTCTTGTTTTGTCACTGTATTGACTTTGTTACTTTAGTTTTTCTTTCCTTTTATTTTCTCCTTCCTTCCTTCCTTCCTTCTCTTCTCTCCTCTCCCCTCTCCCTTCCTCCCTCCTTCCCTCTCTCCCTCTCTCTCCCTTTCCCTCTTTTCTCTCTCCTTCCCTCTCTCCATCACCTGCCTGCCTTCCTTCCTTCCTTCCTTTCTTTCTTCTTTTGTTGACACTGGGGATTAAACCCAGGGTCTTCACACTAAATTGTTTAGACTGGGTTCAAACTTGAATGCTTCTGCCTCAGCCTTCTAGAAGACTGGGATTATTGTCATGTGCCACCATGCCCAGTTTGGTGTTGTTTTGCTTCTTATCTGTAGTGAAGGTAAGCTGTTCCTACCAAGGCAGACCAAACACTTGTCCATATGCAACATGTAGAAAAAAGTTGTATGTTAAAATAGTTAATAGACAAAAGAAAAGATCAGTCTTTTCCTGTTTTTTTTAGTTGATTATAATTCTTCTGACTTCATACAAACCTAGTAGCTCCAGATGATATGCTTGATATTAATTTAGTGGGTCTTAAAAATGTTTTATCTAATGTAATAAAATTTTATTTCTAATGAATATTTCTTGTTCAGTTATTTTTTCGATTTGAGAAAAAATTGTTCTGCTTTATTGACATTTTGTAGAAGCTCTTTGACTAATGCTTGGCATATGATATGCACTCAGTAAATATTCCTTTCTTTTTTGCAGAAGAAACTGACTACATCTCTATGTAATATTAAGTGCTTTCATGGCATGCAGAACTAATATTTAATAGTACATGAATGTTGTATGTTTTTAAACCACCTTAAATTTATGAAATGAATAGCTTTTGGCTTGCTCTCACATTTCTAAATAATTTTTACCAACCCTACTCCATATAGTATCTTTTTTTTTTTTTTTTTGTACTGGGGATCAAACTCAGAACCTTGTGCTTGCGAGGCAGGCATGGTGCCACTGAGCTAAATCCCTGGTCCCTGTAATGTCTTGAATTATAATTGAAAATAACTTTGGAGTAATTTCAAAACAAAATACTTGGATGACCCAATTTTTCTCTTCCTACTTTCATTTTCAACATTTAAAACAAATATTTGATGATTCCTAAGCCAATTTTGGTGTGCAAAAGAAAATTTCTAATAAACTATAATTATGCAGATTGATGTGCATGTGCTTTCTACTTAATAAACTAATGCTATTTTCCTTGTCCTTTTGTTTTACTGCTACTTCCGTCCTGGCTCATTTTGCTTCTTCCTGGTTTGGACTGTATTTGTTTGCTGCTCAATTACTCTGCATTAAAAGCTTCTTGGTGATAGCAAAGATATCCTTGGGCCAGCAAGTAAGTAGCTAAAGTTTATATGTTATGTTTGGGGACATGAAAAAATTTTGATGTGCGCTTAGAAAATTCAAATGATATCTGTTTTGACTTATTAAGTCATCTGCTTTTCTTTTAAGGCACTGTACTCAAAATAAAGAATAGAAATGGTAGCCAGGTGTGGTGGTGTACACCTGTAATCTCAGCAGTTAGGAGGCTGAGGCAGGAGGATTGCCTGGACTACCTACTGAATTCAAGGCCAGCCTGATCTGCATAGTGAGACCCGATCTTAAAAATCAAAACAAAATATAGAAATGGTCAGTCATTGCCCAGTGCCCGTCTGTTCTCATTGTCTATCAGAGACTAATAGTGACGTTTTAGAGTATTTATATCTTACTTTGCAGGCGAAGCTTTATGTACTTAATTGTCTAATTCATGATTTAGGACCTCTTTTTCACAGTATTCCTTTCTTCAGTTATTACGAAACATAAAGCAGACTACTTTGAAGCTGAGAATGGTATAAAAAATTCACTGCCATATGAAAATAAGACATTGTTTTTTCTGTCAGAATTTTTATTTAAGATAATTTTTATGATTTTTTGTCCTTCTGGAGTTTTTTTACTGAAATGTGTTTTACTTTAGGGATTAAGGCCCTTTTAGAATTATATCCAATTCACCTCAACAATTTTAACTGAGAGGTTCTTGGAGGATGGGGACAGATACACAGTGGATGTCGTGTGGGACAGACACACAAAGCATGTTGCCTGCCCATAAGGATTTTTATAGTATAGATGGAGAGTGACAGGGATAACATTTGTACTAAACATTGTTAGAATTACTGAGCCTAAAGGAACATTATAGAGGAACTAATAACAATACTGTTAATATTACTTAATTTTATTGAAGAACAAGGAAATTATATCGATTTTGGAAATAGTATTTCTAAATAGTTTTCTAACTATTGCAAACTATTTCACTGCTCTGGAGCTCATTTTCTTCATTGGGCAAAGGAAGGAGCTAAGCAAAATAATAGCAAAAGTTTACTTTAGCTATAAAAGTCTGGTCTAGGTCAGTTGTGTGTGGTTAGGGTATATATATAATTTTATTCTATGAATTACATTAAAATTCTTATTTTAATTCTTCATTACAACAGTTTACAATATTTTAAATATGTTCCTTATTGTATATCCAGCGTTTTTAGGACAACTACAAATTTAAATGTAGAGAAAAGAGCACAAATCTCACAGGGAGTCTTAGGATTTACATACAGACTATTTAGGACTTTAAAATCTTACTTAAGGGCCGGGGATGTAGCTCAGTGGCGCCACGCCTACCTCACAGCGCAAGATCTTACATTCAATCCCCAGAACAAAAAAAAATTTTTACTTAATTTTAATCTTAGCTTCCATTCAGTTTAAGAGCAAACACCAGATTGAAGATTGTAAAATTCTTCAATTTTTAATTATTCATTATTTTATTATATTTAGATCAGGGCCTCACTGCCCAGACTGGCCCAGAGCTTCTTAGCATCTGTCTTTAGCCTCCTGAATAACTGGGATTACATGATCACCAATTTTTATACTGATAAGTTGAATTTATAAAGGAAAAAAATGTTGGTTAAGGATTCATACTCATCTTGAAGGCATGGTGGTATGTTAATTATAATGCCATTGGTAATTCCACCATGATTTCTACTAAATATGAGTAATGAGAATAGCAAAGTAGGTTATTTTACCTTCACAGGAAAGAGAACCAGCAGAGGGCACTGTAATGTTAGCTTTAGTAAGCAAGTCTGTTGTGTCAGAAACTACAGTGATGTAGTGATTCATCTCCCAAATATTTTCAGCCAGTTAGCAAGTACTTACCAGTTATGTGCCAGGGAGCACAGACAAACAAAGCCCCTACTCTTCTTAAACTTCTATTCGGATGATCCACTATTACATATAAATACCTTAGGACATTGTAGTAGTTTTTACATTATACAGGACCCTTTTTTGTTTATGTAGTTTTTAGTGCTTATGACTGGGGTGAGAGAAAACAAATAGAAAAATGAATTTTCTGTTTTTCTTGTAAAAACGTGAACTCTGAACATTGCTTTTTCTATGTACTCTGTCACTCCAGAGTTGTCTAAAATCAGAGTCCTACCTAACTTTAAGATGGATTAGAAAGAGGGGATACAACTAAATTTGCACTTTTAGAAATTATTTTATATAGCAAGTTATTCAAGACATGGCTACATGTGTCTTGCTGTTAGAGTCCTATAGCATACTTTAAATTCACTAGTGCTTTTTCTAACATTTAAGTTAGCCTTAAATGTACTGTCTGATACATACAAAAGAATATATGTATTTTATGTAAATGATAAAGCATAGCTAAATAGTAAACAGATATTAAACTGATATACAACTCAAAGTAAAAACTAGAATCGTACAAATACCTCACATCTTTCTGCTTCTATTCCTGGATTCTATCCCTTGCCTGAGTCCAGAGGAAATGACTAGGTTGTATTTTTTTGTTTACCATTTTTTGCTTTTTTTTTTTTTCCTTGAGATAGAATCTCAATATGTTGTTCAGGCTGGCCTTGAACTCACTATGTAGCCCAGGCTGGCCTTGAACTGGTGATCCTTCTGCCTGAGCCTCCCATGTGCTGGAATTATAGGCTTGTGCCACCATGCCCATCTTTTTTTGCTCTTTTAAAAAGCCAGCTTTGTTGTTATTTTAAAATTATATATATTGCTAAATTTTGCTTGGTTTTAATTTTATAAGAACGGCATATTATATTTAACATTGCTTTTTATAGTGGATGATGTATTTTTAATATTGAACAATGTTGTTCAATATAGAAATAGGTTATTCCATTTCAGTGCTAAATACTATTTCATCATATACATGTGCCAGAATTTATTAATCCATTTTATTTTTCAACTGATGAGTATTTAAGTTGTTTTGGCTTTTGCTTTGTGAATAGTGTTACTTTTCATTTTTCTTCTTGTCCCTTGGTATACTCAAATAATAGTTTTTCAATGTATAAATCTAAAAGTGGAGTTATTGGATCTATAGAGTATGCTATATAAAATAGCTCAAAATTGTTTTCCTAAGTGCTTATATCCGTGTATATGGCACCAACCGTGCCTAAAGTGTCTTGATGATCCCATCCTCCTCAGTATTTGATGTTATCAGACAATTTATTTAAATCTTACTAAGTATAAAACATTTGTCATTTTTGATTTAGTTTATATTTCTCTGATTATTAAGGACAAAGAATATCTTTTTACATACTTATTGACCTTTTGCATTTTTGTAAAATATTTGATTTTTTCCCCTTATTTTTCTGTTGTTGAGCCTTTTCTAATTGACTTATAGGAATTATATATTTTTTCAGACATTCTGCATGCTAACCCTTTGTTACTTACCTGAGTTGCAAATATATTTTTCTGTCTACTACCTTTCTTGTCAGTGTCATTATGGAATCATTTAGTTAAAAGAATTACAATTTTAGGTCTGGGGATTTAGCTCAGTGGTACCACGCCTACCTCACAAGCACAAGGTCCTGCAGTCAATCCCCAGTAGCAAAAATAAAGAAATAAAAGAATTATAATTTTAATATAGAATTTATTATTTCTTTGGGTTTTGGTTAGTGCTTTGTTATATCTTTTTAAAGAATCATCATTCCCTAACCCAAGTTTATAAAGATTCTCTCTTGTACAAATATTCAAGTTTTTGTTTTTTATATTTGTTTCTTTAATTTTCATAGAACTGTTTTTTTTTCTATGAGATATGAGGTGGGAATCTATTTTTTCATAGATGAAATTTGAAATTGTCCTAATATCATTTATTGAGTAGTCTTTTTTCCATACCTCTGTTGCATATGTGGGTGACACATGTGGATCTATTTCTGAGAGCTCTCTGGTATATTCTTTAGGTCAGTTTGTTTTTATCTGTACCAGTATTACTGCATTTTTAAGTTCTGATTTTTTTTTTTTTGGAAGCAAATGAATTTTGGATTTTGTAACTGAAGAAGCTACTATAGGCTTGATGATAATAAAGTTTCATAAAAATATAAAGTTAATTGATTTTTTCAATAAATTTTATTAAATCCTTCATTATATAGGAAGCAATACCTGCAGTATGCCAGGAAGTATAGTAGAGGCTGAAAATTGCTCTCATAAAATTTAAGGTCTACTAGAGGAATACAGAAAATAAACAGAAGATATAATTCCAGATAGTGATGAGTTACAGTTAAAATCACCTAGCTAGATAATAGATTGTAGTTGTGGAGTGATGGACACTAACCATAACAAAAATTGATAAACTGTGCTATATTTAAAATTAAGAACTTAATTTGTCAAAGAGTACCATGAAGGAACTAAAGGGGTTTTCTAAAGAGATAACGTTTGATCCCAGAGTATTCCAGACAGAAGGAGAAAAAAAAAAAAAAAATTTTTTTTTTTTTTGAGGAATGCCAAGATGGTGATTATAGCAGAGCAAAGTGAATGACAGGAGAGCAGTGAAGAAGTTAGGTTGAAGGACAAACAAGGGCCAGACTGTATTAGTTCTTCAGGGCATGAATTTTATAAGTAAAGTCGAAACCATTGAGGATGTGGTGAGCTGGTAGAAATCTACTGCAGAGGCCCACTAGAAATGTAATGGTGGCTTAGTGAAAAAGAGGGGACAAGTACCAGGATTCCAGATAAAGTTTGAAGATAGAGTACAAAGATTTCACAGATAAATAGATGTGAAATACAAGGGGAAAAAAATTAAAGATACACGTAAGGTCTGTGGCCTAAGAAAGTGGGGAGACAGAAGTAGTGATACTAGTAACTGAGGTGCAGAAGAGAGAGGTAGATCAGGAGGATAAACAGAATCAAGAATTATATTCTAAATAAGTTTGAGATACCTGATAAATAGTTAAAAAACAAAACAAAACATGATTATAAGGCAGGCAATTAGACGTGTGAGTTTTAGTTAAGGTAGAGATATAGCTGAAGATAGAAATTTAGGAAATACCAATCTATAATTTTTTAATTTACTTGGTAAATACTTTCATATATTTTTAACTGAATAAATGAAAGTGCTTTGTATTTTTACTCTGAAAAATAAGGAGCTAAAATTTCATTTTGCAGGCTTTAGTGCCATGAAATGTATATTGGTGTGAGAAGATCTTTTAAAAAAATCTATGGTGGTCTGGGGATTTAGCTCAGTGGTGCTGCCGCCTGCCTTGCTAAGGTCCTGAGTTTGATCCCTAGTGGAAAAAAACAAAAAACTGTGGTAATAAAATTGTGAATGGAAAGTTCTGATGAAGTTGCAAAAAGTCACAAAAACATAAAATGGAGAACCTAAGTCAGTGTGGACCTAATATTTACCCTGTTCCTTCACCGGGCCTTTGTTTTCCCCTCTCTCTTTTCTCATTTCCATCTTTTTATGTTGCTTTCTTCTGTTGACAGCTTGGCTATAAGAGTGAGAAGCAGCCTCAAAGAGCACTGTTTAAATTGGTTACAAGGACAGCAAGCTTTAAAAGATACACTTTGGAGATGGTCCTGCATGACAGCCTTGCCTGGCTTCTTAGTCTTAGACAAGGCAGTCTCTGAAGCTCAGGTTTCTCCATGTCTAAATCAAACATCAAAAATCAAACATCAACTACTTTTCATGAGAATTAGACATTACAGTACAAATATTATGTACTGCTAATAGTTGGTATTTATTTCTGGTTAGTAATGAGGGTGAATATCTTTTCATATGCTTTTTGTGTTTTTTCTATTAAAAATGACTTTGTTTTGTTGTTCTACTGGCAAATGTAAAGAGCTAACAGCTCAATGAAAAGTTCACAGCAAATTGTAGGGTGCCACTCATTCTCAGATGGATATGTATTTGACTCATGACTACTTGTCATTTCTTCTTGAATTGATAATAAACCAACATGAAAGCAAAATAATCATGTGAATTTATTAAAGTATTAAGTTGTAAAATGAATATAACCACTAAGACCATTTTAATCATAATTCTATGTAATATTGAATATTTCATACAAATTCATGACTTTAGGGAAAATAATTTTTTTCTTTTTTTTTTTCCTTGAGCTGTTATAGCAAACAGTGACGAATCTCAGCTTCTTCTGACACCAGGAAAGATGAGTCAGCGCCAAGGCAGAGAAGCTTATCAAACACCAACTAAAGATCTGCATCAGCCATCTCTCAGTCCTGCAAGTCTTCATAGCCAGGGTGAGAAGTTGCTGTTTGGTGTGTTGCGTGTGTTTGTTTGTCTGTGGGAGTGAAGATAAACTGACATTTGGCATCTTCATACTTCTTTTCTTTTTAACTGTTTTGTTGTATAGGGATTTTAGTTTTATTTGAGTTCTTCATAACAGTTTTAGAATAAGTACATGTTCCTTTAATTTTTCTTAAACTTTCCAATAAACTTATTTGTCCCGTTCCTCTAATTCAGTGGTTCTCTCTCTGGTCTGAGTGTTCCCTTATAGTCTTAAAAATTATCGAAGATGCCAAAGAAGTTTTGTTTAGATGAGTTGCATCTGTTGATGTGCACTGTATTATAAATTAAAACTAAGAAAAATTTTAATGTTTATTATTCATTTAAAGTAAAATTACATGTTAATATGAATAACATTTTACTTTCTACTGCCTCATACTTATTACTACTTTGTGTTCAAAACATTTAGAATCCTCTCCACTCACTTTTGAAGATACACAATTAACTGTTGCCGACCATAGTTATTCCTCCTTTTGATTTTCACCCCTCTAACTGTTAACAATTCTCTCTTTCTCCTCCTTTGCAGACACTAGTAATCACTTTTATTCAACTTCAGTGAGATCACATTTTTTTACTTTCCATGTATAAATGGGACAGGCAGTATTCATCTTTCGTACCTGACTTTCTTTACTTTGCATGTTTTGTAGCTTCATTAATGTTGCTGTAAATGACAGAATTTCATTATATTTATGGTTGAATAATACTCCATCACACATATACACATCACATTTTCTTTAGCTATTCTTCCATTTATGAACACAGAGGGCTATTCCATATCTTGGCTGTTATATATATTGCTGTATTAAACATGGGAGTGCAAATATCACTTCAAATACTGATTTCCTTTCCTCTGGATATATACCCAGTGAAGTTCCTAGGTCATGAATAGCATTTTTATTAAGAATTACTATCCCCTCTACTTTTTGAAAGTCTTCCCAAATCTGTTTAATGTTTAGCTTAATAAAAAATAGCTGTACTGCAATAATGGCTTCTGTAATCTGTTGTTATGTGATGATTTGATTGAAGTATGAGTAAATCTGGTCTCACAATATATGTAGCTTTTATACATAATGTTAGATACAATATTCTTCTTTAACAGTACACCAAAACTTGACAAACAGTAGTTTCTTTAAATATTTCTTACAACATGAAATCTAAACTGTATCAGTACACCTTCCGTACTCTGTTAAGTTAAAATCCACTGATCTGTCCTGCATTTTGAATGGCTCTTTGCTCATGCATGATTAATGTCATGTCATTTGGAAAATATTTATTCACTGAATTATGCAGATTTTCCCAGATGTTGACACATTTAAGAGTATACTGTAAAGAAATGCTTTATGCATGCTTCTCATTTTATGACACAGAATATTAAAACTGTATATGTGAAAGGTTCAAGATTAATATTTTTACAGCTAATTTGAGGACAATTATAAATGTAACACATTATTTTATTCTCAGTGCATATCACAAAGATCTCAGTGGCTACTACTGTAGTTTGGTGCTTCTGCCTTGATTTGTGCTAAGTTGCCAGCAGTTTTACTCAATGTTAGTTTGGTACCATCAGTGAAAATGTTCATCCAATGAAAAAGTATAATAAGACAATGCTGACCTTTATAGACCCTCTAAAAACTTCTTGGAGACTCCCACTGGGTTCATGGACCATTCATTCTAATTCATAGTTGCTCAGTTTATAGAGTAGATTCTGTTACTCAGCTAAAGTTTATTTAATCAGTTGTTCTGAACTCTGCTGTGCTACCACTGTAGTTGCAGTGGAAGAACTTTGGCTTTTAAAACTGAGAACTCAAATTTAGTGTTTTAAGTTAATATTTAATTTCTGTGGTTTCACTTCCCTGCTACCAACTGTGGCTTGAAATATTAAATAGAAAATTCCAGAAAAAAAACAACTCATAAGTTTTTAAGTATACTTCTTTCAGAGTAGTGTGATGAAATCTCTCAGCGACCTTTTCTGTCCCACCATGAAGGTGAATTATCCTTTTATCCTTTTATCTGAATTACAGTACCTAACCCATGGCAATTAGAAGGAAACCACACTCACATAACTTTTATTATAGTATGTTTTGATAGTTACTGTTATTAGTAGTTATTGTTAATCTTTTACTGTGTATAATTTATAAATTAAACTTTATCTGTATGTGGGGAAAAATATGGTATTTATATGGTTCATAACTATTTGTGGTTTCAGACACCCACTGGTCTTGAGTATATATCCTGCAGTTGGGGCAGGGATATTGTACTTGATTATCATATTTTGTTTTGGGTTTTTTGTGGGGGTGAGGTTTGAGACAGGGTCTTGCTATGTCGTTGAGACTGACCTGGAACTCACTGTGTAGCCCAGGCTGGTCTCGAACTCACGGTGATCCTCCTGCCTCAGCCTCCAGAGTGCTGGAATTATAGGCATGCACCACCACGCCTGACGATTATCATGTATTTTAAAAAATTAAATTTAGTCTTAACTGTCCTACTGGCCATGTGATATTCAAGTTTTGATGTTGTAATTTTATGAATTGGCCTTTGAGTTTATCTTTTATGACTTCTTTTTAAATGAATACTCACTGGTAAATACAGGTTGATCATCCCTAATCCAAAAATCTGAAATCCAAACTGCTCCAAAATTTGAAATTTTTTGAATGCTAAAAATGCCATAAATGAAAAATATTTCATACCTGATCTCATGTGGGGCTCAGTCACAGTCTAAACACAAACAAAATAAAATTGTTATAAAATTACCATCCAAAATATGTGTATGAGGTGTAGGAGAAACATAGATAAATTTTGTGTTTAAAATTGGATTTCCCCAAGTATCTCATAATATATATAATATATATTATAGATTATATTATATATTATAGTATATAATATTATATACTATAATATATAATATAATCTATAATATATATTATATATAACATTTCATGTGAAGGATATTTAACTTGTGTAGTAAACTACTTTATTTCCATGAAAAAGCTTCTTTTAGTTGTATGATACTGTAATCGAAAATATTTTTATATAGCATTGTGGAAACTATAAAAGGTATGAAAGATCTAAAAGTTAGATCTTTAATCCTGGAGAAGCTGCCTATTTAGTTTTGTTTCTGTGTGTGCCTTTGAGTTTTTTGAGAGACTGGGCCAGTGTCCTAAAGAGTTCAAGTTTTTTAAAATTTGATTGCTTCCTTGCAGTATTGTTTACTTGTTTATCTATCTTATATAATTTCTCTAAACTGAAAATTAAATAGAAAAGTTTGATTATAGTCAGGGTGACCTTTCTGGCATGAATACTTTTTTTTTCTTTTGTCTTTGTTTTTGTTTAAAATTCTCTTTTTAAATTTTTTCTCTTCAGGGGCTGGGGATTTAGCTCAGTGGTTCTGCCAACTGCCTTGCAAGTGCAGGGTCCTGAGTTCGATTGCTAGTACCAAAAAAAAAAAAAAAATCCCACCCTAAAATTTTTTTATTTATATTTTGAGTTTCTTGTATAAGACAAACCATGTAATATTTAAGCTTGTGTTTCAAATTTACTTTCCTTAACATTATGGTCTCAAGGTGTATCTGTTTTCCTGCACATGACACATTTGTCTTTCTTAATGGAAGAGTAATACTCCATTGTGTTTAAATGCCACATTTTCTTTTCCATTCATCTGTTGATAGGCAGGTAGGCTGCATCTAAGATTTAGCTATTATAAATTATGCATGTATCCATTGTAATATGATGTCTTTAACTCTTTCAGAAAGACACCTAGAAGGGGAATATCTGGGTCAAATGGAATGTTTAGTTTTATTTTTTTGAGAAATCTCCATATTGATTTCCATATTGAACTAGTTACGTTCCCACCAACAATGTTCCCCCACAATCTCACCAGCACTTGTTTTCATTTGATTTTTTGTGTATAGCCATTCTTTTTTGGAGTGAGATGGAGTCTCAGTGTTGTTTTGCTTTGCATTTCTCTGATGGCCGGGGATGTTGAACAGTTTTTCATGTATTTATTGGCCATTTATAATGATACTTTGTAGGAGATGTGTAGTACTTCATGCTACAGCACACATGAGAATTGACTCTTACCTCATTATCCAGTGTATTCAGATTGTGAAATTGATTTGAAGAATCAACTGGTAATAGCCTGATCCTCTACATTGAAAGTGACATCTTTTCTACTCTTATGACTTGAAAGTAAAATAGAGAAGATATATTTGGTACCCTGCGGATACTCCATTCCCCATTATGTTTTACCTGTCTATATACATCTTTTTACCTAAGATGATCAGTAACTAAAGCAGTCACAGTATTGTATTAAATTATTATCCTTTTCTAATCCTGTCACTTTTTGTATTTCTTAATAAAACTTTCTATAAAGAAATCTTCATCATCTTAGGGAAATTTGATAAATGTTGAAATATAGTTGCTACAGGAGAAGGATAAATGAGCATTTGTTTTCTGTTAGTTACCAATTTTTGAATTAAAGAACTAATATAAAATCTATTTCCATTAATAATTTGTTTTTGCCTCTTAGGTTTTTTACTCTCCTGAAAGAATCATGTAATGTATATATCCATAATGTTTTAGTCATTAATAAAACAAAGATAATAGTGTTTAGTATATATAGTTTTATAAGGTTTAAAATGAGTTGATACATAACAAAAAAATTTAAAAAGAGCCTGGTTCATAATAACCATTCATAATACCTGATATAATAATTACAACAATAGGGCTAGGGACATAGCTCAGTAGCACTTCTCCTGCTTGACAAGCACAAGGTTCTCAGTTCAGTCCCCAGTGTGGGAAAAAAAAAATAGACAATTACAATTATGTTAAAAAATGACTACGTGGGTTGGTTTGACAATTTCAGCATATGCTGTTCTCTAGCATCTTCTAGAGGTTGATTTAGAACTTCTCTTGGTATGGACAGCCCCTGTATGACACTCAAATATTTGGATATAAA